TCTAGGTCGAGGAAGGGGACACGATCCAAGCCACTTATGCGACTCTCAACCTATTGACTAAGGATTGGTTAGACTTCACCCTCGAATCGGAGTTCGGACGGCCACCCACAACCAAACCCTAGATACTAATACGAAATAGGAGGTTTGCCCTGCATTAACCCAACTAGGAGACAATGAATTGCCCAAGAAAACCCACCTTTCAAGCCTCTTTCAAAGAAAGGAAGGGGGTTTTCTCTCTACCTAATTTAGAATAGCAATTAGATCGATAGGCTTTCACACAACACAATCATTCATAAATAATACCTCCACATTCACATTAAACACAATCACACACAAACCATTCAATTCATACAAGTATTCTTATAATTGTAGCTAGGGTTTACAAACACCCAAGTGAAAGAAGGGACTACTACATGCTAGGAGAAGGAAAAACACAAGAGAGAAGAAGGGAAACCATCAAAAAGATGCTAGTCTTACTCCTTGTGTTGAAGAGATCCTCCTTTCGGGGAGGAATTCCCAATTCTTTGCTTGGAGATGAAACCCTAGCTTCTCCTCTTCTTTGGTTCGTCACTTTCTCACTCTAGAAATTTGAAGAAGAAGAAGAAGAAGAAGAAGAAGCTTTCTCACACTAGGTCTCTCCCCTTTCTTCTTCCTTTCAGCTAACTCTTTATACTGAGATCTTGCCAAGTTCACGGCCGTGAACATCAAGATGCGTCTATGAACACAGTGAGTTGAACTAAAATGCACCGCTTCACTTCTTGGGTTCCGGTTGAAGTTCAGGGTCTTAGAGACCGTGAACAGCCTTGGCGTCAGTAACCTTAGAAACCCCTCTAGACGCTTCTTGGTTCACAGGTTGTGGTTTAAGTTCACGGTCATGGCGACCGTGAACTCCAATGTTGGACCACGAACACAAGCTGAATCCCCCTCTTCGATTCCAGCACTTTTGAGCATGAGGGTGGTAGCTCCTCTGTTTCGTCCCAAGACTACTTCGCCCAGCATTTCAAGTAGATAGGACACCAGTTTCAGTAATTGGGTATCCAAAACCAGCAAATACTTGACCCCCAGCTTCGATTCCAGCAGTTGTATGCGACCCACCAGGCTGAGTACGCTTGTCGTATGGCTGTGTATGATGAGCTCTTGGACCGCTTGGAGACCCAGCAGGGGATCACCCTCGCTCATATCGAGCGTGAGCGCATTCGGATGGGCCGGATGCAAGAGGTCCAGTAGTACCTCCTGGTTCAGTTCCCGGGCAATCCACTAGCCTGGTAGACTCTTTGGGATGCTTCCCCACTACCTACGCCTCCTCCGAGTGGCGATGGCTTCAGGAGGAACATTGACTTCGACACCACCGGTGACGAGTAGGTTGTACTCGTCGGCCCCTTTAGTGTGTGTTTGTGTTTTCTTTTTGTCTTTGTTTGCTCCATGTGTGTGCGGAGCTTGGACTGAGTCATTTGTGTGTTTATTTTCTTTTGGATTGTCGTTTTGTGACCATCTAGGCTGACAACTCTACCTAACAAATAGTGTTCTAGTGGTTGTTTATGAAACCCTCTTTTGCAGCGACTAGTCCCTCTTCCAGTCTTGTGTTTCTGATGACTGGTCCTCGCTCCAGTCTGTGCTTCCTATCATCTTGTTCCCGGTAACATCGGTTCACCCCTACTCTCTTTTCTCTGCTCCAATGAGGCCATTGTCGATCTTAAGTGTGTGTGTGTGTGGGGGGGGGGGGGGTGTTTTATGTCTATCGGGTTTACTATGTGTGTGCTTGGAACCTAGTCCATGTCCAAATTTCGTTTTGTGGGCTCCAAGTACATGTCCTTTGAATTGACAGTCTCTATAGTAATATACAACCTAGGGAGGCGGTTGTAGCACTATGGAGGATGTTGAAGTATAAGATTTTTTCTATATGTCTCCTTGTTGTGCCGGTTGATTTTGTGAACTAATGCATTTAGGACCTTTGACTCATGTGGTATTTATGATACATGACTTATGGAGTCATGTATCATAAAAGGGTGCTGAATTTTATGAAATGGAAAGACATTTGGTCCTGCATGTCAACAATTTGAAATTTTAAATATGGGGTAAGCCTAACGTGTGTGACAACGTTCGTTGCACAAAATCGAGTTTTGGATGAGATTTTAGTGATCCTTAGTGGGGTACACCTACAAGGTGAAGCTAAGCCGTCTCTAGTACAAGTAAAAATTCCACCCGTTGAACGGTTTGCCTACTTGAGGATGTGTTTTAAGGGCACGGGTAGAGCTTTCGAACCCCCTTAATTTGATTGACCCTCCACACGAAGTGAGGAAAAGGAGTTAAAAGAAGTACTCTAGCGAGCGACAAATGTACAGAAATTGCTCTTGCTCGCCCAACAAGGGTCGACCGCACATAAAAACTACAGTTTGGAATCCTAGCAAAGTGAGAATGTGAAAAACAAAAGAAAAACAAACAAATAAGAATGAAAAGGGGTTTCAAGGAATGAAATGGAATGAAAGAGCACCCGATACGAAGAGTCCTTGGTTGTTCAATTGTGAGAGTCTCTCTATCCATGAATTGACTGTCGTAGTTCCACTGCTTCTCATGATCATGGTTTGAGTCTAGTACTTGCATTGAGAGAGATAGGGGACGTCTTAGAAGACCGGTTGACCTCTTAAGTTGCTAAATGACCTAGGAAGTCCTCTACCGACGATCGGGGTTGCATGTTGCTATAGAGATCTGGAGAGCTGCATTGGTATGAGCTAGGTTTGCTTGGGGATAAGCAAACAGTTAAATGCGGAGGGGGGGGGGGTATTTGATAACTACATATTTACACATGTTTTTATCCACCATTCTTATTTTGTTTGAGCCTCTTTTCTTTTGTTTTAGGCCAATTTCACGCTAGGTTGTTATTGTTTGTGATATTTCATGTCCTAGTACGTAAATGAAGGCTTGGGTACGAGTTCAGGATCGATTGAACAAAGATGGCACATTCAACCAGAAGCCAAGGATTGTACGCGGACAGACCATGATTCTACGCGGCAATACGGATTGGCCGTGCAAAGCTGTTTACACGGTCGGGATCATACTAGCCGTGCAAGGGCACCTTTTGGTCGTGCGCGATGTCCTGGGGGTCTACACGGGTAAGGCTCAACTTAACACGGACGTGTGGGTTGGCCGTATGACTTCCCTCGCCAACTAAATGCAACGGCGCGTTTTGGGAGTTACACGTCCATAATGGATTTCTACACGGCCGTGTGGCTTAGTCGTGTAATCGGGTAGAGCTGGGGTTTAACCCAATTTTGAGTCTTTGAGAAGGGATCCGAGTTTGGAGAGATGAAATAGAGTTTTGGAGAGAGAAAGTGATGAACCCACTCTCCAAGGTGACTTAGATTAAGATTCAACACCATTGGAGCTCGATTGAAGCTTGGAGAAGCAGTGATTGACAACCAGAAGCTGATTATCATCCTCCACAAGATGATTTCTGCATCTGAAGCTGATTTCTCTTCTTTCTCTATGGAGTAAACTCCATCTCTAACCTAGGTATATAGAACCCTAGATTTGTATGTTAGGTTGATTGTATGAACCCAAGTACATGATCGTTTGACATTGATTATATTCAATTGAGGCATGATTTCTGAATTGCATGAATCATGATCAAATTCTTGTAGTTTCTGCTTTGACCTAGAAAGAGAATATTTGCCTAGGTTGATAGAGCACCCTTAATTGAAGGTGGTGAATTTACTACTTAGTCGAGGAGTCAATTCACTGCTCTGTACTGGATTTACTCCAATAGAGGAGGTTTTGCATGTTAGGGTCTCAGCTGTTCACTTTGGTGGAGGTTAGTAGCCCACTGGGTATTTGGATTGAGAGGGTCCGGATACCTTTAATCAAGACTTCAGACTGATTAAGAACCTTTCGCAGTATAACTGTCATTGAAGCTGGACTTTGTGAATTACAATTCGACACTGCAATCTAAGGAAAACCATATCTGGGTGACCTCTCTCGAACTTGAATCAAAACTTTGTTGCTTTGTGTTTGGTTAGATTAGTTATTACTTCACTACAGTTAAACAACTAGATGACAAGAATCTCACAGAATAGTCATCACACCTAGGACCCGGGTTGACAAATAAAGCTAAACTCGTTATACTACGCATTAGTAGGTGGTTACACTTGGCCACTTTCTTGTATGATGAGAAAAGCAAGTCAGTTGAGAGCCGCTTTCGCTAAAGGCCAAAGAAGATGGGCAAAATAATTCCTCAATAATGCCCCTCCAAAAGACTCCTATGATCCCATTCCTTCCTATCACAAGCATGAAGCCCGACCCTGCTAGTACTCTTGCTTTCTTTCTACTTTGTTTGGGCCAGCGGCCCAATTGTTTTCCACTAGTGATTCGAGTGCAAACATGCTCATGATTGTTAGCCTGCTCCTTTTTCGTGTTTTCTTCATCTGTAATACATCAAACTCATGGAACTAGGCAGTAATGGTTTTTTCAACCATTCTAGGGTCCGTGAGCCCTAAAACTAGCCACAATATGCTAAACATATCATAAGATAATCATATTAAGTACGAAAATACAATATGTTCTAGCTAATTATCAATAGTCTAGTGTGTTCTCCCTCCTAGTTGGTAACCTATATCCGATTATAAGCCTTGTCCGGTGCCCAAGAATGTTGATTTGAGTATGGAATTAGATCGTCCTTATAACTGGTAGAGCTAATTGTAGTGTTCGTTTGTCTTTGGTTAAAGAGTTATACTAGGTTGTAATGAGGTACACTTAAGTGGATCCCTGGTTATAGGGGTGGTAACCTGTTATTCGGTTAATGGTTTAACCGACTACCAAACCCATAACCAGTGGTTATCAGTTATACCGTTAACCAGCAGTACCGGTTGGTAGTAATCAAAACCAAGCAATCAGGATATCGGCTTGTACCCGATTAATAACCAGCGATTAACCGGATAATCGGGACCAAACCTTTCAGTGGACAGCTCTACTCCGACGACCCTCTCTAGCTATTCAGACCTCCATAGATGTCAGTCGAACTGTTACCGATCGTAGAACCTTCTCTATTCAAGTCAATAGCTTCCATTTTCTACGCCTCCTTAATAATGGTCGACTCGTCCCACAGCCTCTTCTTTCACATCAGCGGATTAGAGTCGTCGTTGCTACCACTAGTGAAACCTAAACAAGCCTGCCCGTACTCCAAATTTTCTCACCTTACGGCCAACCAGACCATTCTCCAGGCAACCGAAAGGGCCACCAAGATTCACATAGTCAATTTTGTAGTCAATTTTGGCAGTTCAAGGGATTCAATGGGCAGCTCTCTTGAAAGCTCTTGCTTTGGTGTTTTTTGGTCCTTTTACCTTCATTAGTGTAAAAGAGAAGAAGAAGAGCGGGGGAAGGAAGGATGAATTGAAATGAATGGAAGAATGAAACTGAAAAGAGATACATGTTGTGGTTGAGCACAAAAAAGAGAAAGAGTTTGGAAGTGTAATTATTTAAATTAGACAATAGGAGGTATTAATTGAGAAAGTGAGGTGAAGGTCGAGCAAACTATTGGCTCGATTGGTAGAGGAGCAGAGGAAGGATTTCTCCAGACCGCCGGCGTCTATGTCTTTGTCTCCTAGGAGAGACAAATGAAGAGAACCAATGGTGCTTGAGGCTCATCCTCCTCTACTTGGCACGCCTCACCCTTCCATCTTCTTCGTCCTTCTCCTCAAGATCACGCGACTTCTCCTTCTCTCACGACAGAAGTAGTAGCATAACAAGAGACGGCAGCACCGGTAATTGGTTTACTAATCGATAAATAGTTACCCGGTTAACCTAATGCTCCCTAGTAATCGGTAGTTGCTTTATCGATAACCGACTAACCGATTACTGGTTAAACCGATACTAACTGATTACCATGCCTGCCTGGTTATGGGGTATCCTAGCGCATAATGATAACTTTTTGAACACACCTTAGTTTTGAATTTAAGGTTATCTTTTTTATCGTAAGGCTCACACACCTTAGTTTTGAACACTTCTCGTTAAAGACATTCTTTGTAAATTATGAATTTTAGTTCTATAAACTTTTACCTCAAAAAAAGAAACTACAAATCAATTACAATTAGTAATAAAAATTATATATTGGTACTCATAATTTTTGAACGGTAAGAAATAGTTTATGAAATTAAAATCGTACAATTTTAACTACAAAGTTTCAAACCATGTTTTGTCTTGTTTAGAGTTTGGAGGTAGATTCCAAAATTCAGTTTTTCAAGAACTAGAATTTTGTGAATTACCTTGTAAAATAGGGCTAATATCACTAGAAAACCCGAACTATCAAGGTAGTGTCATTTGTGTCCCGAACTATTCAATATGACATTTATGTCCAGAACTATTTTTCCGTTAGAGTTTATTGGCGTTGACCGTTAGTATTTAAAAGAAAATACAGTTAGTGTTGATGTCGCATCTGGCGTGGAATTTTTAATATTAATTTTTCTATTTTTTATCTGAAATTAATAAAATAAGAAAAAGTAAAAAAATACAAAGTGGGATATTTCATCACTTTTCCGTCTTCGATTCCCTCTCAAAGCAATAACCCACGAGAGAATTCTCTGCTGAAGTTTACAAATGAAATTAGCTTAAGCGCGCTATAGAGAGAAGGAAATTTGGGAGGCGTATTATATGGTAAAACAAGGTGAGCGTGAAGGAGGGGGGGGGGGGGGGGGGAGATCGGAAGTGGAGCAGATGGCACAGGGGAATCTGCATGGAGAGTGGAGAAGCCTTCACCTGGATCTGCGCCGATACCTCTTCGCCGGAAAACCTAGAAACCACAAATCAAATCACACGATTAGTTCATAGACACCGATCGTCTCTTCAAAACCAATTGGGTCGTTGGATTTGGGGGTTTTCTTGGTTTCAATTGAACGGAGGCAGAGGAAGAAATAGAGAAGTTGGCGCCAAGAGTGAGGTTGTTCTCGCTCTGCTGGAGGGAGGAGCAGCTGGGCTGGAGAAGGAGCGAGCCTTGGCAGCGGGGAGGGCGAGGAGCAATGAGTCAGGCTAGTGATTGGGGAGTTCGGAGAGAGATTTGAGCTTGTTGACATCATCGACATCAACATCGAAACACCCTAATTGTAAATCCCCCCATTTTCCCCTTCGCTTTCACACCTCGACATGAACGATTTCCCTCAAGACCTCATCGCCAACGTCCTTTCCTTCACAGGGTCGTGCGAATCATGCAGCCTTGTCGTCGTCTCCGCCACTTTCTGGATCTCTTCCCTCTCCAACATCGTCTGGGACCGTGTTTCTCCTCCGGACCACCTCGCCATTCTCTCCCGAACCGCCAACGATGACAAAGGCTATGATTCTAACTTGGCCTCCAACGAGGATCTCTTCCTCCGCCTATGCCAACACCCCATTATCATCGATGAGAATGCTCGTTGCCTGCATTGTGATGGATTTGAGATTGAGGATTTTCTGGATTGGGAAACATTTTGAGAGAGAGAGGCGAATTAGTAGAGAAGAGCGGACAATGAATCGTAAGATTTTTGTTTTATTTTTATTTTATTTTTTTGTTTTAATATTTCGGATCATTAATATTGTTGAGTAGCTATATTTTCTAATTTATATTATCTTTATTTTAACTGTTATTTAATTTTGAAATAAAAAACGAGGTGTCAATGACATGGCATCTACGTGGCTGCCATGTGTTTGACACATCAGCAAAAGTCAACATCAAGTTGACCACCGTCTGGTCAACCGTTATCTATAATGGTCAACAAAATCGTCAGGACATAAATGACACAGAACTATCATAGGTTGTGACATAAATGTTAGATTGAATAGTTCGGGAAACAAATGGCACTATCTTGATAGTTCGGGTTTCCTAGTGGTATTAACCGTGTAAAATATAACGATAAGACGAGACACGGTATTTAACGTGGTTCTTCCTCATGGTTTGTGAGTCTTACATCCACGAGAAATATTGATATTCTCTTATTAGGTTATGTGGTTGACGACCTTACAAGGATATATATACCATGCTCCCAATTCATCAACTAGGATATAATTGCCGAATGGAAAACAGAGACTTGGATTCCGTGTTGACCATGCAACACTCACGTCATGAGAAGCAGGCTGGGCTTGGTTGGTAGGAGTGGAGTCTAGGCCGAATACTCCCCCGCAAGCTGACATGTGGAGGTCACGAACATTCATATTGGAATTTAGAAAATGAAAACGATCAGCTATAAGAGCTTTGCTGAGGTGTCGGCTAGCTAGAGATCATTTCGACCTTTGACAGGCAAGATCTCACTAGAATGAACACATTCAAGAACAAATTAGTAGTCCATCTCAATGTACTTTCTGTGTTCATGACAGACGAGGTTGTTGGCTATATGACAGTACGCTTAGTTGTCATGAAGCAGTAGCATAGGAAAACCTTACTTAACACCAAGCTCATGCAGCAACCAACAAAGCTAGAGAAGATCACTAACAATACTCGCCATGGCCTGATACTTGTCCTCGGTGGAAGAGCGTGCAACAACCTGATGTTTCTTGAAGCGTCAGGATATCGGAGCTTCGCCCAAATTGATGAAATAGCCAGTAGTAGAATGACGAGTGTAGTGGCATCCACCCCAATCAGTATCACAATAAGCCATGAGACGAAGGGGGATTATCGACTGAGAAAAATAAGTTTTGACTTGGCGATGCCTTGAGATACCACAGAATGCAATAAGTTGCGTCCAAGTTCATGGTACTAGGCGTATTCACAAACTAACTTAAGATATTGACCTCATAAGTGATATGAAGACGAGTAACCGAAAGGTAGAGAAATCAACCAACGAGGCGAGTTAGGAGGACGGATATGTAAGCTCATCGTGAGTGGCTCGAGTGAGGTGATGATTATGCTCTATGGGAAAGCACTAGAACAAGATGCTTGCATACCATCATCTTCCAATATGTCAAGGACTTACTTGCGCTGACTAAGAGAGACACTATGAGTTGTACGCGCAACTTCAATACCAAGAAAATAGCGAAGAGAGCCGAGATCCTTGATGTTGAAGCGGGCATGCAAGAATTCCTTCACAAGTGTCATGAAGGAAGTATCATTCTGCTCGATAGAACCATCTGGGTGATATTTAATTTATAGACCCATTTACAAGGAATAGCACACTTGCCTAAAAGAAGATAGACCAAGTTCCAAGTACCACTCTCTTGGAGCGCCACGATCTCCTCAGTCATGGCATCCCGCCAGTACTTGTAGCAAACTGCTTGATGAAAACATGTTGGCTCATCTCCTTGAGTGATAGTTGCAAGAAAAGAGCAATAGCGAGGCTTAAAATTATCATAATTAGTTATCAAAAAAAATTCTCATAATTAACATAGGAAGCAAGTGTATAACGCACAACATGAGCATCACTTCCCTGTACAGCCGAAGCGAACTTGTCATGAGTGGATAATGATGTATCATAAATTGCCAAATGCTTGGGACATGTATTGACTCAATCACTGCGGCGAACCTCAAGGACAGGTGGAGGTGCGATAGGGAGAGGACGACACCAGAGAAGGGTCATCAACCGGATCAGGGGACGATGAAAATATACCACCTGATTCGAAACGAGCTGATGAAACCGACAAAGTAGGAGAATTTGAACTGCTGATCAGTAGGTGGGACAGTAGTGATAGGGGTTGTGTGTGTGACGCATCATTTTCAACAAGAGGGTTGGCCATGTCGTCAAGCACATCTTCTGGTTGTAATATTGGTCGAGATATGGATTGCTGGAAACATGTCGTCAAGACCCATTAAGAAGTCGAACAATCTCGAGAGATCTTGCTCCTTTCGCACTATTTAGGACACCCCGCAAGTACACAATCCAAAAGTAAATCAGGTGTAGATGATGTAGCTGAAACTTCTTCCCAAAGGGCTTGGATTTTGGTGTAGAATGCTGAAACTGAGTGCTTCTCCTGCTGAAGCATGCTTATGAGACGTCAAAGCTCGTACGCCCTAGAAGATAGTCTTTGGCTAAAACATTCACTTGGATCTGTCCTGGTTTCTCGGGCTGTCTCAGAAAATCGTATGCTACTCTGCATTTCTTTGTCCATTGTTGTTGTCAACCACCCTTTCACAACAAAGCAAATCCAAGCGTCACACTCAGCGTGACCTGGAGGTTTGGTTAGGGTTCCATCGATGAACCAAACTTGTTCTTGGAAATCAGTGCCAAGCCATCCGAATTGCTCAACTAACACACGGACGGGAGGTCGGGTTCCTTGCTGTCGGCAACAAAGAGGGCTTTCTCACCCCTTGTTTCTTCTCCATCATTGACCATGACGATTTAGGAACTGAATAGCTAGAATTCACAACTATGATACCATGTAAAATAGAACGATAAAACAAGACACAATATTTAACATGGTTCTTCCTCACGGTGTGTGAGGCTTACATCCATGGGAAAGATTGATATTCTCTTTAAGGTTATGTGACCGATGGACTTACAAGGATATATATACCTTGCTACCAATTCATCAACTAGGGTACAATTAGTGAATGGAAAATGGAGACTTAGATTCTGTGTTGACCATGTGACTCGCTAAAACACAACTCCTAACAATGGCCAAGCGTAACCAATGAAAGTGACTGCAGTATAGTGGCACAAGTAATAAATATTGAATCCATGGGTCTATAGAGTTACTAGTAATCAGCTTCAGTTCATTTTCTAGAAAACCATATTAAGATAGAAGAACTATAATTACTCTACCAAACTATAGTTAAAGTTAATCTAATTACAGATTTGGAACTCACTTAGGTTAGATTCCCCCTAGCTCCTCAATTAGGTCAGAATATCCGGCAGGCGAGTAGCCTTCACCGGGATAGACTACTAAGGTGATTCACACAGATCTCCACTATCAATAAAGGAAGCTCTCTTAACCTAATAAGATTCTATATATCAAACGTTAAAGCAGAAATCAAAAGAATTTGATCAGGATTCAAATGACTCAATAAATCATGTCTCAATCAATTATAATCAAACAGTATAGCATCCAAAGGTCATACAAGAAAGATCCTAACACATGGAACTAGGGTTCCTCAAAACCTAAGTGAAGGGAAGTTACTCCATTGAGAAGAGAGAGACTGCAGAAATCTGATCTAGATCTTCAATCTCCATCTCCAAGCTTGATTCCCGAGCCCCAATGGTGAAGAAATCCTCCAAAATAGCTCCAAGAATGTTCCCAAGTGGCTCTCTCTCTCTCTCTAAGCTTCATCCCTTGGGTGTTTGGGAACCAAAACCCAGCTCTCCCTCTCTAAAAATCACAAAACAACTTTTATACCCGCTGAAATTCGCAACCCCTACTTGCACGACCGTGCAAATTGAGGTTTTGGCCATGCAAACCCTTTGGAAACATTGCACAGCCGTGCATAGACCGTGCACATTTTCCATCATGCACTCCTAAGCTTCGTTTGAGCTCGTTTGACCTCTGATTCATGTGTCGTTTGATCCCAAATGCTTGTAGTCTCGTCCTCTATCTTTTCATGACAAGCTTACATGATTATTTGTCCATGAAAATAGGTAGAAATCCATTCTTCTTCCTGTGATATCTTTGGATTTAAGTTCAACAACAACTACAGGTGAATTTGATCAACATGTCCAGCCAAATCGACATTTTGTTAAGGGCGGTGAGTCACTCAAGGTTACACGAGTGCTAACAACTAAGGAAATGCAAATGATCAAAGGTTACAAACGAAGTTATTAGGGTAAGAGAAAATGATCGTGGGGAGGAAGTATACGAAGGGTGATGACAAAGGTTGATTCCGAGCAAATTTCGGGGACGAAATTTTTATAAGGGTGGACGAAATGTAACCCCCCGAATTTTGGGTTATGGTTCGACCATAATACGTGAACGGTTGGATTGACAGTTACGTACGAAGGGTGACAACCGTGGATTAGGAACAATAATAATAACTATTATTATTTCATTATTATAATAATAATTATTATTAATTATTAGAATAAAACCCTAGGAATAGCCGCCCACCAATTTGTGACCAACGCAGCAAGAAGTTCCAAAAAGGAACCAAATGGAAGATGGCGCCGAAAGATATAGAGGAAATAACTGGAAGATGGCGCCAAAAAATAGAGAGGAAATCAGGAACCCATCGATCGACAAAAAATAGAAAGGTAAGCGGAACCCACCGACCTGCAGATGTCTTGGAGAGGAGCGGCTGAGAACCCCACCGACCAAGAATTCGCCGCGAGAAGAGGAGTAGTAGAAAATAGCCAGATATCAATGGGAAGACACGCCAAGAAGAAGGCGCAGACACCAAAAGCAATCTCGTCGAGCAATAGACGCCGTCGGAGTAGAAAAAATAGAAAAGGACCCCGCCGAGCAGAAGACGCCACTGGAATAGAAAAGCCTAGCACCAGCGGACAAGCACAACCCCCCCTGCTCCGCCAGAAGAAGACACTTTGTTGGATTTATTATTTCCCCACCTAGGACTCGAGCAGCAACGAGAAGACAGTTGGGGATTAAGTTGGTGGCCCGACGCTGATTGGTG